TGAAACTTTAAAATGCAAGCAATAACATGAATACTATAGAATATTCAAATTTGTCTTCCTGATTCTTGCATGTTGGCTCAAAATGTACCGCAACATTGTTTTCAGTCCCCTGCTGATCAGAGGGGGCGGGGGGTTAGGGGTAGGGGGAGATTTCAAGGCTCCCCGTCTACCTGAACTGGCTCAATCCTGTTGGATATGGACATTAAATTCAGAGGTATCGTGATAACCTACTGTTAAAAATGGCATTAAATCAATGCCCCACAGTAGGGGGGCTCTCGTGGCCAAGAGGTACGGTGTTCGCCTCTCATTCATCCAATAGGTTCCGGGTTCGAAACCTGACAGCGACTGAAAATTAAGTTTCTTCACTAAAATTTTCCCCTTTTGCCCCTTCCCTTATGGCAAACAATATGAAGTATAACAAAAAATAGAGAAGTTTCGTGACAATAACAAATATCGGTTAAATCTACTCGAGCCCTTCATTTAGAACATACTTGACCTACTATACATTTCAGGGGGTCTCCATTCTCTGTGGAGCCACATAACATGGGTTGCTGTGACGTCATGCAAAAAAGACATTTGTGAGGCAGCGTGGTGGAATCAGGCTCTCGTAAATTTTTGGGCATGTACAGTTATTGGTATCATCTTAAAGCTTGTTCACTTGTCTTTATTTGGATGAAAAAAGTATCCATTTGTCTTGAATTCAAGTCGAGATATTTGCGAAAGAATGAGGTGGGGGTCACCTGTTTTCAGAGGTAAAATTATTAAGAAAATGGCCGCCAAAGATTAGTTATTTTCTTAGCTGAAGAGTCCGTTGTTATTGAAAATTTACATTTTTGTGCCTTTAATCAACGTTTTTCAGAATAATTCACACAGAAATGAGTTCTTTAAAGGACATGAAAGGTCTTGAGCCAAAAAACAAACATTTGATAAAAATTCACAAACCTGCGGAAAAATGCAAGTTTCTTGACTTTGATTATTTTGACGAGAGCCTGATTCCACCACATTGCCTCACACTTATTTTAACATACTTTAGCAACGTGGATCGCTCAAGTATTACCACTACCCAAAGATTGTGACAATGATAAGCAAGTACATGCTGATACTCATTATTCACAAAGTCTGCAAGACAGGCCGGCAGACAGACAGACAGACAGACAAACAGACACACAGACACACAGACACACAGACAGACAGCCTATTACATAGTAGACCTACTTCAATCAAAATGTCTAAGGCGGCCACCCATTGTCGAGGGGAGAAAATGGACGTCTTAGACAGGTGGACGTTTCACACGGTGTCATTAAAATATTTTTTTTAAAGGAAAGCACTATTCCCACTGACACTGAGAACAGACAGGCCCATTAGATCTATTGTTCCCATACTGATCTACTTGATCTACATGGGCATGATGGTGATGGGTTACTAAATACTAGACTAGATCTAATGTAGATCTAGATTCTAGATTCTAGATCTAACTAAACTGAAGTAGATTCTAGTGTGAGTGGAAGAATTGTTTTTTAAGAAAAGGGAATGATCATTCTATGCTTGCTTGTTATTCAGTCGTATTTTACGTACGTGTAGATCTAGATCTACATACGGATTTTGGAGACCACGGTACAAGACAGGTAGAAATACTTTCTCGATTCTTCTTTCTCTAGATCTATTCTACGGTCAAGTCTAAGCCCTAAGTAAGAGAAGAGAACAAAAGTACTGAACTGAAGTGAGAACAGAGTCTACAGTGCAAAGACTTCTGATTTTTTTTTAATGCAAAAGAGTTCCGTCGTCACTGGGAATAGTTTCTGTACCTATCCCCAGTGTCACTGGGAATAGTCACTTCGTTTTTTAAAATAGAAAGGGGAGGAGGGATGAGAAGCAGTCGTTTCAACAAGTGACAGATGTCTTATACGTATGGTCGTTAGAACAGGTTCGACTGTATTTATAATATATCGGTTATAAAATGCTGCTCAGTTCTGCTCTCACCCTAACAAAATTACCGACATTATAGTCTGTTATTTTAGCCGGCTAGGGGATCATTTGGGCATTTTTCTTTATGAACAGGTGTTCATGTCAAGTGATGCGTGTGCTGTTACTACCTGCGAGAACCGGTTCAAGCGTCACTTGATCGGATGTGGCACACGGACATGGGAGAAAGAGAAAGTGGAAAAGGGGAGGGGGGGGGAGGAGAAAGGGGGGGGGGGGGGGAGAGAGTGGAAAAACGAGGGAGAAGAAGATGAGGTATGGTGAAGAAGGTGAAGGAAGGAGGGTAAAGTTAAAAGGTGGGGATGGGGGAGAGGGTGAGAGGAGAGGAAGGTCTTGGGGAGAGAAGAGAGAGGGGTGAAGAGGGTGAAAGGAGGAGGGAAAGAAGAGGGAGGAGGGTAGAGGAAGAACAAGGAGAAAGATAAGGGGAGGAGGTGGTGACATTAGATCGACGAAGGAAAAGAGGGGAAAAAGGG